TGGGGAAGGTTGTTCCGTTTAAATTGATCTCTCGAGCTAGTGGCTGCGATTTTTTTCGGAGGAGACACAGGGTTTGAAGTTTTTGTGAGGAGTTCATCACTTTTTTAGCTTGATGGGGAATATTGTTCTGCTTTAATTGATCTCTCGAGCTAGTGGCTGCGATTTTTTTCGGAGAAGGTACAGGGTTTTGGAGTTTTTGTGAGGAGTTCTTCACTTTTTCAGCCGGTTCTCCGGCTGCCCAGATTTGTAACAGGTGGCAAGTGCATTAGCCGTCTGCATCCTCCACCGGAGGTCGAACAGGACGCGGTCGCTCGATCCTTCCCGTGAATCTCTCAACTCATCTCTGATTTGGCAGAGATGAGTTAGGAGATTGCCATAATGGTAAGCCACCACCGTCAACTGCCGCATGGTATTACCATCACGAATACGTGAGCCGCCAACGGCAACTGGTAGATGGCACAGCCATCGTGATTGCACGAGCCCCTACCAGAAATTCGTTGCGCCGCCCTTGGGAGCAAAAAACGGGAAAGCTAACGTACGAAATCAAAGGGCAGCACATGGTGCGATCGCGCGACCCTGCCCGTGAGCAATCTCCCAACTCATCTCTGGTTACACCTCTCCCATAAGGAGTGTCACCCCCCTGGCAACTGGCGATCCGCCGGCCGGGCCGCAATCCCCGGCCGTGACTGACTCCGTGATTGAACGACGTCACCGGCCCGATAAAGGACCGCGATTGGTCGATCCCAACTCATCTCTGGTGGCAACCATCAGAGATTACTCACGGGCAGGGTCGCGCGATCGCGTCCTGTGATGCCTCGCGGTGGAGGATGTGGATTACTAACGCACTTGCCACCATAAGCAATCTCGTAACCCATTTCTGTTGCAGTTCAGATTCATCACATCACATCATCTCACTTTAGACTGATAACCTCGTGGACAAGGTGATGAATTTCGCACTGTAAGGGTACTGGTTCGATTCCCGGCGATGAAATTTTTTTTTTAAAGTAACTAGTTAATTTTTTTTCATATTCAGCCAGCTTCTTTGGACCTGGTTTTTATAAAGCGTAAAAATAAAAAATGAATAAAGAACTTCCGCTACTTATTTTTATTGCAATATTATGTCATATTTTCAGAGCGAATACTTATACAGTATTGTATGAACACAATTTCTATTAACTTTACCGCGTGTATATCCGCGGTGTTGATCAAGCACGTGATTCACTCATTGTCAACAGTAGTCCTTACATATCTTACATTCACATTTTACAGTTCTGATTGACTATAGTTATTCACTCCTTCATGAAAAAATATTCATCTAAGCGACGAAGTCTAGTGGTCTGTTGAAACCTCCTTTTCTGTTCATGTATTGCCTGTACTTCCTTTTTAGAATAACATGGACTGCACCTACATCATTTCCATCGACTTTCTTTCCTTTAGTGGTATCAAAACCACAAAAGCCCATCATTCTCATCATCTCCTGTTCTTCTGGTGTTTTACCTTGTAAATCGGCCTCTAAAAATAAGTAAACTTTCTTTAAAGCCGTGCTTTTTACTATAAATAAAGCTAATACACCAATTAGATCAAGGCAGATATGTATGTGTCAATATAAACTGTAACTTGGCATCATCTTTGGTCATGTGTGCTGATAATTTTCAAGCAGTTAAATAATGAATGGCAAATAATGAACGACTAACAGCAACATGTTTATGGTATCGTAATACATTTTACTAAAGTTGTAAACATTATTTTTGCTCATTGCATTTGGTAATTGTTTCAAAATAGTATTAAAATCTTTAACTTAGATCCTTTATTTATTGTACAAAATGCTATTAGTAGCCCTATACATTGCAAAGAAAGCAATTTTCATTTATTGAAAGTTAACCATTAAGTAGATCATATGCTTTACTACATTATTTTCATTGTTAACAAATACAATTTAATTAACATTGTTAGTCATTTTACTATAGTGATATGCAACTTACCTGTGATAATTGGTCGTTCTGCAGTAGGTGGTTTTGATTTAGGCTTTGGTCGATCTCGATCTCTTGAACGGGATCTGCTGTAAGATCTTCTGTGCCGGTCACGGTCTCGTTCACGTTCTCTGTCACGATCTCTGGATTTTACTCTGTCTCGATCCAATGACCTGCACAGTTGAGTATGCATAATCTAGTATCCTAACACTTACATGCTAAATGAATATTTCTTACAAAACTAAATACAAGGAAAGAATTATAATACAAACAGCTGTAAACAAAATAAACAGCCACCATGAATTATTACTAAACATGCAGTTAACAAGCTTCTCGTAAATATAAAATTAAATGTTGTATGACTTTCATATTTTAAAATAAATATTCCTTACCGTCTTCTTCTTTCTCGAGATCGTCTTCTTCGTCTGTCTCTTTCTCGTTCTAGAGAGCGATCCCGTCTCCTACGTGGAGATGGTGATCGACTTTGTCCCATTCTATAAAAGAGTAACAAAAATCAATCTAACAATATTATATGTAATCAGTGTTGTCATTTTACAAATTAACTTAAGATTAAAAATTTAAATAGATATAAATCTAAGTTATAAGAATGATTGTACAAGATTAATAATAACCTATAAGCCTTATGTTACAAAATTAACAAACATTCATTTTCAAAGGCATATAATTTTGCAGTGAAAATTTACTTAAATACTTAGTGAACATAAAATGATAAATAATAACTTCCTAATCTTTACACAAGCAGTACCTCTAATACTTACGCAATTTTTAATTCTGACCTACGAACTTTGACATTTATAATATCTATTTAGCCGAGGAACTAAGTAAAAAATAATTATAAGAACACATAAATATTTCGATTAAATGTCACAATTGGAATCCGTGTCGCTAAGCATCACATTTACAAAACGTTAACACTTGATTCTAGCAGAATTCTACCTAGTAAAGTCAAATTTATACAAATTTTTAACCATAGATAAGTTTAGAACGTGTTCAGCAGACGGACCAGTTAGCTCGATTACGGTCTTGTGCTGCCACCTATGAAGAATTTAAAGGTTTATACATAATTTAAAAAACATGGAATAACCAGAAGATACAATATAATTTGTCGCCTGTTCTAGATACTCTATTCATCCGTACAATATACAGAAGATACTATAATTCGATGCGTTAATTTATTATCGCTCGATTACTCACGGGAAATTACATTACAAATGTACAGATTAATTTTACCATCAGCAAGATTAACACATGAACAAAACAACCCAGTAGGTAGCGCCCTCTTAAAATGTGGAAGTATGTACATACACATCTTTATTAATCGTCGATACAATGCTTGAAGATCAATACAAAATTTTTAGACCGACAAATATTTTAATAAATTAACGCCATTAGATGGCGCGAGATGTCTGAATGAGAAAGACCTAAAGAATCTTATCCTAAAGCAAAATGTATAAAGAATATCAATACGAGAACCAGTGATGCTGAAATACAATATTTTCTAAGATATTAATGTACCCACTTTCGCAAACAGGTAATAAATTAAACAATTTTACAATTTAATACTATGTTCGACGTTCACAAACTTGTTTTGGGTAACGGAGTATTTAACATTTATTAAGTTTACATAGGTGTTTTGATTCAGGTAAAAGCTTTCCAATGAAGATTAGTACATACCCATGTAAGGTATAAGTATAATTTTTAATTTAAATTTAAAAAGTTTTTAGACGCGGAAAAGAAGAATTTATAACAATATTTAATACACCTCCAGTAGCCGTGATCGTCTAGTGGTTAGGACCCTACGTTGTGGCCGTAGTAACCCAGGTTCGAATCCTGGTCATGGCAATGTGATAAAAACATTGTCACGGCGGAGGCTTTTTTTTTAATCTAACTCTTATACTACCTTTTTAAGTTATTTTAACTTTGCATTCAATGATTTTTACCTTCTACGAAATAGCTGCTGTTATTAATTTGTACATTCACATTTTTAAATCAATATAATTTAATATACAAAATGAAGTTGTCGTGCTGCTCAGTTATAACACTTATTATGTTCAAATACATAAAAAGAAGCAAATCCAAATCAATGCAATAATTTACTGCTTTTGCTATGTACATTATTCTGTACGGTTTATGACTAAATGTATACACTCCTGTTTCATTGTTTCCATCGTGAAACATACTAAGACAGCAAAATGTAGCAAAAGAAAATATTTTATACGCATATAGTTTTTGAATTTTAGTCGATTTGAAAGAAGGAACCAGAAATGGATAGCATGTACAATAGCCAATATGTGACTTTAATTGTGTTATATCTTAGATTCTGTACAGATATTTCTAAGTTCTGTATACCAATGTATAATGTTATTGATTAAGGTCTTGAGGCTTCCGTGGTTGTTGTTCCTTACTTGCGAATTTGCTTCTACCCGGAAGTTATATGTAACAATATCAGAATGTTCATAATGCTATTGATTGTAACAATATCTGAATTTAAAAGACTAAGTACGTTAAAACATTATAACGTTATGGAAAATTCTGTTCATTGTTTCAAACAATTATTTAGCAGTATCAATCAAATCGTGAATTTATTTTTACATGCAAATAATATATTTAGTATAAAATTAAATACCGTTCTTCCGTTTCTTGGACTGCTGATGCTAATGGTAAAATTCAAGGTCATGATATGCCATCACTGATGATCCTGGGGTCATTATTTCTGTTTCAAACAATTATTTAGCAGTATCAATCAAGTCGTGAATTTATTTTTACATGCAAACAATATATTTGGTATAAAATTAAATACCGTTCTTCCGTTTCTTGGACTGCTAATGCTAATGGTAAAATTCAAGGTCATGATATGCCATCACTGATGATCCTGGGGTCATTATTTCTGTTATGCCCCAGCTAGCAGGTCGTCAGACCGTAACTATAGTCGAGCTGTGTTACGTGAAATTCGTGTCGTTCCTTTTTAAATAGCTTACCGGACAGTTAAAAAGCAATTTAGCAGTGTACTTTCATAATATAATAGAATCTATTTAAAGATCGTGAAATATACATTCGAAGATATTAAAACTCGGTTGAATATGTCCTTGACATGATTCACATATATGACCATTTAGTACTGGTTTAAATCAGCCTAGTTCTTCACAAAATGTAATTAAAAAATTCAAATGGTTTTATACCATTGACGAGTATTCCTTAAATACTGTTCATTAGTCATTCAGAGATAGAGAAGAATTATTCAAATAGAATGTAAAAGAAAACTGCCTTTCATGCTGAAAGAATAGTTAAAACGCGAAGCGAAAGTCATTTTTTTTTAAACACTTTGTGAAGCATCCTAAAATTAAAACGATACAGGTAGTCGAGTAATAACATTTAACTGATTAAATTGATGGCTCACTACTGAACAATGCAATGCTTTTTCAGACGAAAGAAAAACTTCAGAAAGTGATTAATGCTAGAACTAATATCATATTACACAATTTGTTAAATATTGGAGAATTGCCGTTTAACCGTTTTTTATTGATTAATTCCTATTTTCTTTTCTCGAAAATCGATGGAAAGGTGGGATTATTGTTAACAATTTCTGTTTTTTTTTTTTGTATTCTTTTGACTGATTCGACATATCATGTAAGGTAAGTGTATCAGTGACCGAACACTCAAGACGCCGTTCAGATTCAGATCAGGATTAAGCACATAAAGACCGATATGAGGTACAGACGACTTGAATCAACGTAAAAAACAGAATTTCTAGTTTCCAAAACACGTGCTATATATATGTAAATATTGAGTAATTTATTATTTATGCCGCAAAGGCGATGGAGAAGTCCAATGTCTAGTGTTCGAACAGCCATTATTTAAGGAATGCTTAATAAAAGGAAATATTTAAGGTGGTGTTCGGCAACTGGGACGTATTCGACCACACACATACCTTACCTTACCTTGAAATACCTTCCTTACCTTACCTTAGAATACCTTAAAGTAGATATTTTCAATCGAGTCGACGGAAAGGAGGGATTATTGCTAACACCTTCTGTTTTCTTGTATTCCATTCGCTCATTTGTCGTACCATGTAAGGTAGATACTTTCACGTGAATAATTCCAATTTTCTTTTCAGATAATCGACGACAAGGAGGGACTATTGTTAGCGAATTGTTTCCTTGTTTTCCATTGGCTCATTGATCGGAGCGTTTCCTCGTGGGCGATGCGGCTTCTCGTCGTCGTGCGTCCTACTCTCCAGGAGATTCGATCGTCGTCACGGTTTCTCTGTCCTTTTAAGGCAACGAGCTACACCTACCTTGCAAACTCGTTTCCCTTGCACCTAAGTACAGACCAATCCGTAAAAAGTAGCCCAGATCGTAACAGTCTCTTACGACATCGGGGAACTCTGTTCAGCGATCACCGAGATGATTCTCATTCCTCGAGAATTCACTTTTCTCGATACTCTAATTCGGCAGACCTACATTTAAGTAAAAATAAATGATATATACTAAAAACTCATTTTTTCGGCACCACTATTCCAACACAGATTCACGAATTTGACTGCAAGATTTCATAATATCTCTTTTATAGATTTGTCAAGTGATGCTTAGTACAAAAGTGGCATACCAGGAGTTTCAATCTTTAATGTAGGTATAGGGAAAAAATGAACTCATATTCGTCATAACTTAAGGGGGTGTGAATGTGGCTCCGAGGAGTCGATCGTTCATGAAACTTTTCTCCGAACTAAGTGTACCGAATCGTTTTACACTTTACAACGTGAATACGAATGCTAGAAAAAAGATCCTGACACCCATGAAATGTCATGTTTAATAAATTTAAAAAATACCTCAAACAAATTGTTAAAGAATTTAAATTTCATGGGTGTCAGGATCTGCCTTATAGCGTTTATATTCACCCCGTAAACTTTAAAACGATTCGATACACCTAGTTCAGAGCAAAGTTTCATAAACAAAACCTCTGTATCGCCACTTTGACATCACCTTAACAAACTAATTAGGAGGCAGCATTTACGATAAAAGTAGGCGCTGGAGTCGTTCGACCGCAAAAAACTTCGATCTCTAATTGTGGTGTCAAGTACGAGAATAAGTCGAGGACCCACGCCCCTAGAGTCGACTCTTGTTCATAAAAAACGTATACAAGTGTATGTTCACGTATCGCCGTTTAGGTGTCTCCCCGCGTATGACCTCATCACCGTATATGGTGCCTATATACGGAGGAACATGACGTCATTTACGTGTACCGCTATCGACAAAACCTTCCTATCTCCCGAACGAGTTCCTCGTTGCAGTCGACTGCAACTCCGATCTTAGAGACTCTAAAATACATCCTTGTATACCGCAGGTCGATCATTTATCAATTCAACCTGCGGAGGAAAGTTGATTCTTCCGGATAAATTATTCACGAGACCCTACTTTACTTAAAGGAGCTCATTATGCTCATGAATGCGGTGCACGCGTAAACCCTATTATTTTCGAACATGCGCGGTTCTCGTTGATTGTAGAACACAAATCCGACACCATAAGTGTTGGATCAAGTTTTCACATGATTAAGAAGGGGGAATCGAAGCGTTTTATCGATAATCACCCTCCACCTTTGGCGTGAATAATCACGGACAAATACAATCTTCTAAACACGACTTCATTGTATCTATAGCAATTCTGTAGTCACTAAAAGTTATCAGCGTCATTTACCTCTGTCAAATTATGTTTAAAGAAATTGAAATAAGAAGGTAAAGAATAAAAATGAAATACATACTATACAAAATACTTGGCTGGTGCTATGGTGAAGTAATTTATAAATATCGCTTCTTAATTATTTATAATTCACCGGTAAGTAAGACTTAGATCGATGTTTCCGATATTTTATTGCCTGAACGTTAAGAATTTTTAATTTAAATTCTGAAAAAATATTTTGGGCATTTTATTTAGTGTAAGATGTGGTTGGTATTAACGCATGACTT